AACACGTATATTTTATTTTGTTTTTTTACATATTTTAATTTTTTTTTTAAAATGTATACAGGTTGTTTCGAAAAATCTGGTCATTGATTAATCACTGCTTAAAGCGCTTGACGTAAAAAGCTGATTTTTGGAAAACAGATTGACTTTAGGGTGTATAGAGGTTCGATAAAAAGGGATTTTTTGAAACTCGAATTCTAAGGGTGTGAAACTATCCCTCAAATATTAAAATATTTTTTTATTTAAAAACCGGTGAGTTTTTCGGAAAAACTCTTAAACACGTATATTTTATTTTGTTGTTTTACACATTTTAAGATTTTTTTATAAATTTATACAGGGTTGTTTCATAAAATGTGACCACTGAGTAATCACGATTCGGCTTAAACTGCTTGACGTTTAAAGCTGATTTTTGGCAAACGGATTGACTCTGGGGTGTAGAGGTTCGATAAGGAGGGGTTTCTCGAATCTCAAATTCCAAGAGGGTGAAAACGCCCCTCAAATATTACATTATTTGTTATTTAAAAAACGGTTAGTCTTTCGGGAAAACGCTTGGACAAGCATAATTTATTTGGATTTTTTTACATATTTTGAAATTATTTAATAAATCATAAAGGGTGTTCCAAACAGTTGGGTAATTTCTTAACCACGATTCTGCTTAAACTGCTTGACGTAAAAAGCTTATTTTTGGCAAACGGATTTTTCGAAAGTCAAATTCCAACGAGATGAAACCACCCCTCAAATATTACCAAGTTATATAATAATATCGCCATATTGTTTTTTCTCATGCTGACATAAATGTGAGAAAATTTTATCCAGTTTGTATGTTAATGGAAATTCTTGCTTTGCCTTATCATCACCATTACAAATGATTAATTCGACGCGAACGAAGTCGCTGGTACACGCTAGTTAAGGGGGACCATTTGTACGACGAAATATGGAGCGATCGAGCGATCAACAATGATTGACATAGTTCGCGGCAATACTCACTTAGGGTTAATGATTGGTACCGATGGTAAAACAAATAGTTCCTTTTTATTTATAAATTATCTATGGTTAAAATGATTTTATATAAAATACAGGGTGTTACATCATGTGGCGTTAAAATATTTTTTTTGGAATATATTAAATTCTTTTAAAAATCGATTTTGCCTATTATTTTTTCTCTGTAAGGTTTTGTCTTAATATTTTAAATACTTCTTAGCTGATTTCGTTGAAGGTGATACAATTCCTACAATTCTATCATAAATCGACCAAACCAGATTATAAAATGCTCGGCGTGTGTTCGGCTAAAATTTAGATGTCTTTGTTATTACACTGGTGTAGGACCAGTATTCACACCAAACTCTTCACGTTATTGAAATAAAACAGTAATGTAGAAAACAATGTTTATTTTAATAAATTCAGTACCACTTAAAGTAGACAACAAACACCAAGTCAAGATATTCACATGTTTATTTTGATGCCCAATGCCAAGTGGCGGAACTAGGGGGGGGGGGGGCTAGGGGAGGCTTAGCCCCCCTAGACTCAAAATTAGCCCTCCAAGATGTTTGGTGCGGTTCAATAAAACCACGTGATATAGTGTGATTCTACGAGCAAAGCTGAGTAACAAGCGTCAGGTTCTCATGGTTGATCACCAAACTTTATTGATATTTATTAGTTTTAAGTTTTTGATAATATTTTATTATGTATAAAAATTATACTTTTTTTGGCGTACGCTTGGCATTTCAGGCGAGGCACAAAAAGTAATTTTTACTCAAATAGAACATGCAATTTTTTTACGTATTTTTTTTTAATCAATAATTTAAGAGTTATCAACAGAAAATTTGATTTTTTATATGGGACACCCTGTATATTTTTAATTCATTGAAAATAATTTAAAATTATCTTTCCAAAAATATAGCACACTTGGTATTTTGCCTGTGATAGAAAAAAATTCTAGCCGTGAACAGCAATTAAAACGAAAATAATATTTGCAATGAGAGATGCAGAATTTTATAACAATTTAAACTATATTTAACAACATCTCAACATCAACACATTTAAACTATATCTAATAACAATAAAAATAAATAACAAACCAAGAGATTTTGCTACATGTGTTTGACATGTCGACCGTATTCTATTATGGACACACGGGACCGTTTTTAAACATTTCTCGCGAAATTTATTAACTCAGTGGCGGTGAAAGATACCCTCGCATAACCGCTAATTACTTCTAATTCTTGTCTAGATTATACAGGCAATTTGAAAATAAAAACATTTATTCTTTCGCAAATAGAAAAATCCATACGCGCTAAGTCCAGCGGCCTCGACGGCCAACGCCTGGAACCTTGGTTAGCTATTCATTATTCTCGAATTGGCTGCAAAAATTTGCTGATAACTTCAGTGTTCTGGGGCGATGCTTCGTTTTGCTGAAAAAATATGTTTTCGAGTTCCATTAGGGGCAGATCGTCAAATAAGGAGTCCAAAGCCTACTAGTTAAAAGTGTGCTATTATAAGTATGCTATATTTTTGGAAAGGTAATTTTAAATTCTTTGCAGTTAATTAAAAATATACAGGGCGTTCCAAATAAAAAAATCAGTTTTTCTGTTAATAACTCTTAAATTATTAATTTTAAAAAAATTATACTTAAACCATTAAAATGGTACTTTGGAAATGTTTTCATAAAAATACAAAATTTTCCATAGCAAAAAAGTTATAGAGATTTGTTAAAAATGCACATTTTTGAATAAAAAACCCGTAACTTCGAAACAGTAACAGATATCGATATGCGGTTTTCACTATCATCTTTTTGATAAAAAATTGAGCTCCAGAGACCGACATTAGTTTTCGTCTATCTCCTATAGAAAAGGGTGTTTCCCTTTAAAAGCGTCCAATTTGACCCACTCTGTACATAATAAAGATTGGTTAAGATTAAGGTAGTATTAATTTCATGGTATTATTAAATAAAAAACGAAAAAATATTATGAACAAAAAATCACTGTTTTTTTAAAATTGGTATTATCCTCAAACCAATATTACCTTAAAAGTCTCGGGGCTTGAGCCCCCCCAACAGTCGGTGTCTAGTTGCGCCCCTGCCAATGCCCAATTAAGTTCTAACTTCTAACATAAAAAATTATTTTTGGCAAAAAGAAAACAGATACTAAAAGGGCCCACAGACGGTCAATATGTTTGCGCAATAATATTGCCCCATAATATTGTTAGTTATCTCCAAACAGTACAATAAATTTGTTCAATAACTAGCTTCGTTTTGCACTTTGGTTAACAAGGATAAGAAAAAACAAGCTGCTATTGCTTATCAATTGGTTTCTATCAGCGTCTGGGTATTTTTCCTTATAATTTCCCTAGTAGTTCATCATATTGTTAATTTTTTTTTATTTCTGTTGCTATATTCTTTGCCTTTTGTATTCCACAAAGCTGGCAAAGAATGGTACATTTTGATGACTTCTGAAATAAATCGTCTTTCTTCCTCTTTTGCTTTTGATCCTATATTTGCTGACAAACCACTGATCTAAATATTCTAAATAGAGCCGAGCAGTGAGACAAACACGCAGAGAAAACAAAAATATACTGAACTATTGTGCAATATTATCCACACAGGATACAAACTAATCACTATTGCACAATAAAAATCAAACTGTTTTTGATTGACACAATATATTGTGCTACCTTTCAATGTAAACCCTAAACGGTCAATATTATTGCACAATATGAAATATTGCGCAATAATATTGACCGTTTGTGGGCCGCTTAAGGTTCGAATTTCTTATTAAAGCCTTCCGCTGAAAACTAAATTCAAAAATATTAATTTCTTTTGACGGAAAACAGTATGAAAACATCAAAAATCAACCAGCACCAAATCAAAAATCAATGTTACATTCAAAATTATTCATTGTTAAAAAATATTTACCTAAAAGATATTAACTATTACATAATACTATTAAAAATTAATTTAATATTTGAATAAAATCTGCTCGTCACATGGTAAATGTCTAGATCATATTATATAATTTATATACAAATATCTTAAAAATGTATTTCTATATACAGGGTAGGCCACTGAAAACTTACAATGGTTATAATTTTTAAACCATAAAAGATATCAAAAAAATAAAAAAATACCGTTTCTATAATATCGAGGGGGAATTCATATGTAGTATTTTTTGAACCACCCCGACCTACCCCTTAGACGGCACCCCCACTCACTTGAAAATCTTAAATGGCAACACCCCACTTGTGGCGCCTTTTTAGAAACCCCATGAAAAATTCTAAACGATGATCATAAAGTTTTTAGGGTGAAATTGAAAAAGTACCCCTGACACGAAAAATTAGGTGGACATTAATGAAAAAAGTGATTTTTTCATCATAAGTTACAAATTGGGACCCAGCTAAATGAGGCAAATGCGGTATTTTTCGAACTACCCCGACCTACCCCTAGGTGCCACCCCCTCACTTCTAATCTCAAAATAGCGATACCCCACTTGAGACACTTCTTTGGAAAGCTAATTGAAATTGCTAAACGATGGTCATACAGACTTCAACTTAATTACTGGTGAGTAGTGATAAGAAATGTAGGTGTGACAATTTGAAAGAAATATGATAATTTATTTTAACAATTGCTCAAAATGACAGCCGTTTTGTTCCATACAAAAATACAAACGATTTTCAAATTCTTCTCTCACTTTTTGGAAAGTCTCTCTTGGAATATTTCGACATGTCAATTATCCTCTGCCGCAATTCTTGCAACGAACCTGGTTTTTGTCTCAAGATTTGTCTCTTGTGACAGAACTCCGCCTGAGTCAGCTGTGGGTGGATTGAGTAGCTCACAGTTGTCACTGCCGGTCCCAATCCCGGATAAAGGAGGAGGGTTCTTAGGTAAGGCTAGCAACCTGCCTAAGGTAAAACACTCACATGCTCAAAGCACCGGTAATACAGCCTCGGAACCAGGATTGATTTCACAGATAACGACCCACGTGCGAAAAAGGACAAGGAACAAACTTTATATGAAGAAGCAACAAATAAGAATTGCATACTGGAATATAAAAACACTTTATTCGAAAGACCATGAACTAATTCCCGAACTCAACGAACATAAAATAGACACAACAATAGTGCACTTTCCGAAACAAAAAAGAAAGGTAAAGGAACAACTAAACTAAATAACTACATTTTAATATACTCAGGCGTACCAAAAGACCAAAGAGCAATCAGGCGTTGGAGTACCTATAAATGATAAATATGAACAGAATATAAAAAGCATAGAATACGTGTGCGACAGAATCCTGAGAGTAAAGATTATGTTTGACCAACCCATTCACATTATATCAGTGTACGCACCCGACATTAATAAACCTGAAGAAATGTCAATGGACTTCTACGAAAATCTACAGTCAGCGATAGACAAAATACCAAGACATGAAAAGATAATTCTGTTAGGGGATTTAAACGCAAGAATTGGAAACCAGGTAGTGGATGGAATAAAACAAAAATATAACGAGAATATAACTAATAGAAATGGCGAAATTTTGACCGAATTCTGTGGACAGAACGAACTGAGAATAAACAACACATATTTTCCCCATAAAGAACAATACAAATACACCTTCTATGACAATAGAAACAATAAATCAATAATCGATTATATCATCACCAATCGAAGTTTCTTACCTCAACAAATAATAGACATAAGAGTCTTATCCTCAGCCAACATTGGAACAGATCACAAACTTGTGCTAGGAAAGATACGAATAGGTGCGCCGCTATCCAAAAAAAGACCATCGATAAAAACTGAAAAATTCAATATAGAATGCCTCAATCACGAAAGCACTAAACAACTTTATTCAAACAGATGCCAAACACATGTCACTCTTAACCCCATAGCACAGTTTGATACTCCTAACACAGCTTGGAACAAACTGAAAGAAAACATCTGCAAAGGTGCTAAAGAAGCTTTAGGAACACGTACTGTATCACACAATAGAAGACCGAACATTAAACCTTGGTTTACATTAGAAGTCAAGAACATTACAAGGGAAAAGAAGGAAAAATACTTACAATACAAGAAATCTCCAACACCGGAGAACCGAAATATCTATACCGAAATAAGGAACAGGACTAATAATAGAGCACGAGAAATTAAAGAAGAATATTGGCAGCGATTTAGTAGCGAAATGGAGGCGGATATGTACGGAGCACAAAAACGTATTTGAAAGATGTTGAGGGGTTTGAAACGAGAAACAAATGAAACGATACAACTAAGAACAATTGCAGAAGATACGTGGGAAAAATATTTCAGAGACTTATACGCAGAAACAGATGAACCAATGGAAGCACAAGAGACAAGCCAAAGAGATAATATAGAAGATCATGCGCAAATCACTTACAAGCAAGTAGAAGAGACAATAAGGAAACTTAAAAATAGAAAATCTCCTAATCAAGATAAAATACCAAACGAGCTAATAAAAAACGCAGGCAGGGCTATCATAGAGGAATACACAAAACTGTTTAACATTATATTACAACATAAGAAAATACCAGAAGAGTGGAAACAAAGTATAACAATACCCATTTTAAAAAAGGGAGATAAAACAGACCCAGCAAACTATAGAGGAATAACATTACTGAGCACCTCGCTAAAACTTCTGACTAAGATCATTGCGGACAAAATCTCCTCAATAGTGCCAATAAGCGAGGAACAACAAGGATTCCGAAGAAACCGATCAACTACCGATGCACTATTCATACTCAGTTGCCTAACTAGTTGAAAAATCCTTAGAATATAACTCTCCAGCCTATCTATGTTTTATAGATTTAACAAAGGCTTTTGATAGAGTCCAACTAAAAGACATCATCAGCATCTTGGAAAGCAGTAATGTCTCGAAAGAACTCACAGAACTTATCAAGGACTTAAACACAAACACAACAACCAGTATAAGAACAAACTTTACCTTAACGCAGCATCTTCGAACTACAACTGGTATTCGCCAAGGCGACAGTCTCAGCCCTCTGTTATTCAACACAATCATGGATCAAGTAATAAAAACCGTCAAGAATACTGGATTAGGATATCGAATGGGAATGCATAAAGTAAACATATTATGCTATGCCGATGACGCAGTACTTATTGCAGAGTCAGAGGACGACCTCAAAAGAATGCTACAAGCTTTTTAACAGACAGGCAGAAAAACTTAACATGCAAATTTCCACAAATAAGACCAAATGCATGACCATTACAAAGGAGCCTCTACGGTGCAAATTGGTAATAAAAAGCAAAACTATTGATCAGATAATGTCATTCGAATACCTCGGATGCAAAATTACAAGCTCAGGATTTCTGGAAGAAGAAGTAAGAAAACAAGCCAATAAAGCTGCCGCAATATCAGGACATCTTAAATATCCCATATGGAAAAACAAACATTTGAGTACAGAATGTAAGTCAAGAATATACAAAACCTGCATACGACCAGTGATGACATATGGTGCGGAAACCAGAGCTGAAACATCAGTAACAAAGAGAATCCTACGAACTACTGAAATGAAGACCTTAAGAATGATAACTGGATACACATTGAGGGACAGACAGAGAAATGTAGACATAAGAGAAAAGTGCCAAACAAACGACGTTGTCAGATGGATAAGGCAGAGAAAAAGAGAATGGAACCAGCATGTCAATAGAATGGGCCCCGACAGAATGGCCATAATAATTCGCAACAACGTACCCCATGGCAGAAGACCTACTGGACGACCACCTAAACGTTGGCAAGACAGCTGGCAGTCAACCTCGCAAGAGTTGCTTAGACGAGGAGGAAACCGGAACTAAACAGGCGATACGCCTTCTAAAAGAAGAAGAAGAAGAAGAAGAACCTTGTTTTGTCTTCTAGTATGGATTTGGTGTAACCCCACAATAAAAAGTCTAAAGGAGTGAGATCAGGTGACCTTGGCGGCCACTCGATTGGACCCCTTCTGCCAATCCATTGCCTTGGATAATATCTATCCAACCACCGCCTTGTGACAATAGAATAATGCGGAGGGGCTCCATATTGCTGAAAGTGTACGAGGTCTCCATTAAGAGTTAAATTTCCTTCCAAATCTCTTTGATTTTTAACCTCATTTACAATGGCTGGCTCTATCAAATTGTTCAGCGTTTCCACATCAGCATCACCAGTCAAATTTCCGTCGATGAAAATTGGACCTGTAATTTTATCGCCTAGTATTCTGCACCAAACATTGAGCTTTTGGGGATGTTGGGTGTGTCCTTCAACAACAATTTGCGGATTCTTATCGCTCTAGTATCTGCAGTTCTGCTTATTCACATTTCCGTTTAAAAAAATGAGCACTCGTCACTAAAACAAATATTTTTAGTGAGTGAAGGTTCCCTTCGAATTTCCTCCGTCATTAGTTCACAGAACTGAATCCTTCTATCTGGATCGTCGTCGCCAAGTTCCTGGAGAATCTTCATTTTGTAGGGATGGAATTTGTGCATTTTCAATACTCTTCTGACAGATGTTCGAGGTATACCTGTGATATATGCTAACTGGCGTGTTGATGCTTCTAGATTAACCGATACCTGACAAATAACTTCCATCTGCATTTCTTCATTCAGTACCCTGGGCCCTGTCCTTTTTTTATTTTTGACCGATCCAGTTTCTTGAAACTTTAGAATCAAATCTCTAACATAAACGTTTTTGTCCGGATTTCTCTCATTGAAAGCACGGGCCGTTCTCAAATAGCACATACCTTCAGCACTATAAAGAAAAACTATTTGAATTCTTTCTTCCACATTATAAACCATTTTTCTTTCAAATAAGCGAATCAAATAAAGATTTTGTTTTATATTAACATAATTATCAAAAAGAAAAATCAATCAATCAATTATACAAAAAATTAAATAGCGTCACCTCACAATAAGATATAATGGACTCACCCCACAAAGATTGCTTCTCCTCCAGCCGACCGGCTTCAATGATGCCTTGATAATACACACAATTACACGGTTTTTAGGAAATAAATCAAAGCGTGGTACCACTTCGGATGATCATGAGCGAGAGTCTCTCATTACACTTCCGTTGATCCTTCGCGGGATGGGGCAGGCGCCCTTCTATCTAAATGTGAGGCAGTACCGCTGACACCAAAATAAAATTACACTAGATTCAAATTTTGACAATATCAAACATTCCGCCCACCAAAACAAAATATAATATATTTTATTTTACTTAAAAAAGAAACAAAGAAAATTTAAACATTTGTACATCTTTGTACATCAAATACCCCATAAAATGAATTGAATTCTCTTAGACATCACACACGTAAAATAATTGAAATAGTAGGTTTATTGATCGGGTAGAGGGCACAGTTTAACTAATGGTCTATCGAAAAAACCCTTAATCGTTTGAATTTGCGCCACATGTACAACCTGATCTGTACCTGGATATAATTTAGTAATTCAACCGAGTAGCCAACGCAAAGGGGGTAAATTTTCGTCCTTTACTACTACTAATGCGCCAATTCTAGGCGAATTATGTACGCTGTTCCATTTAGCTCTCTGCTGAAGTGTATGAAGATACTCTACATGCCATCTTTTCCAAAAATGTTGCTGAAGTTGCTGAACTAACTGCCAACGACTTAAGCGGTTTTGAGTCACATCGAGTAAATTTTCATCAGGAGGAGCAGTAAGTGGCTCAAAAGTCAAAAAATGTCCTGGAGTTAACCTGCCAAGATCGTTTGGATCTGGACTAGAACTACACAACGGCCTCGAATTGAGCAATGCCTCGATTTGAGCTAACAGCGTTGTAAGCTCTTCAAATGTTAAAATTTGACAACCTATAACACGATACAAATGAGTCTTTACAGATTTAACAGCACTCTCCCACAAACCACCAAAATGAGGAGCAGAGGGAGGGTTAAAATGTCATTTAAAAGACAAGGTCTCAGAAGACTGTTTACAGTAGGATAGTAGAAGATTATAAGCTCCGATAAAATTTGTACCACGATCACTGTACATATCTGTACATCTTCCACGCCTAGCTACAAACCTACAAAAAGATGCCAGAAAAGCTTCAGAGGAAAGATCCGAAACTGCCTCAAGATGGACAGCTTTCGTACTCATACAAACAAACACGCATATGTAAGCTTTCTGACTACGCACACCACGATGTCTTCCTAACACTATCGACAAAGGTCCAGCAAAATCTACTCCACAATGAGTAAAAGCTTTTATTTGGGCAACACGGGCCGGAGGCAAATCATTCATAAATGGCGTCAAATTGGAAGGAGTAATTCGGAAGCATCGATAACACCTTGAATATAATTCAAGAATATAAAAAACAATCTGTCAATGGCGACCACTGTAATACGAATAGCTCGTCGAGCTGATAATATCCAAAATTGTTGCAAAATTAAATATTCAAGAGTTCTAGGTCCAGGATGCAAGTTCTTGTTATGAAATTCTTGAATAACTAAATAAGTTAGTTGATGGTCCCTAGGAAGCAACATAGGATGTTTAACGTCAAATTCTAAATTAGCATGTTTTAAACGACCGCCCACCCTGAGGACTCCATCCTCGTCTAGAAACGAAGCTAATTTCCTAAACGGTTTCGAACATGGCACCTTCTCTTTTAGTTTAAGAATATCAGCAGAAAAGACCTCATTTTGCACAAATCTCACAGTCACTATCAACGCCTTATAAAGTTCTACATAACTCAAACACCCTACTTGTTGTTCGCACTTATGATTACGCAAGTTATTCACAAAACGAAGGCAATAGGAAATTATGCGTTGAATTTTACTTAATGACGAAAATTTCTGAAGAAGTCCAGAAAGAAAGTTGTCAGAAAACGTAGCCATATACACTACTTTCTTCTCTTCTAAAGTTACAGCTGTAGGTATCTCGGAACTAAAACAGTTTGGCCAAGATGAATTTGATTCTGCGAGCCAGGGAGGGCCCGCCCACCACATCGAATGTGAGACAAACTGTTCTGGAAACATACCACGCGATGCGCAGTCTGCGGGGTTCACTTTACCATCTACATAATTCCAACATTCCGGAGCAACCTGTTCTTGAATATGGGAGACACGATTGGCGACAAATGTTTTCCAACGATGGGGAGACGACCGGATCCAAGACAATGTTACAGTTGAATATGACCAACAAAACACTCGCCTCACTCGCACATTTGTTATGTTACTCAAAAAGAATGCAATACAGTCTGAAAAAAGAGAAGCTGCACATAACTCTAATCTAGGAATAGACATCGTCTTTAAGGGAGCTACTCTGAATCACCTAACAACTTTAATAAACATGTCGTTCCAAAATGGTATTTTTCCAAAATGTCTTAAGACGGCAATAATCATTCCTCTGCATAAAGGAGGAGACAAAGATGAAGCTTATAACTATCGCCCAATTGCACTCCTTCCAACGCTATCTAAGATCATAGAAAGGTTGGTTAAAAGAAGGCTGGTATCTTTTCTGTTTAAGTACAAAATACTTACTGAATATCAATTTGGATTTCTAAGCAACAAGTCCACAAATGACGCTATGTTTTCCCTCCTTAATAAAGTTTACTCCAGCCTAAACAATCATCATTCTACAGCAACAATTTTCTGTGATTTTTCTAAGGCGTTCGATTGTGTAAATCATAAGATCTTAATTAATAAACTGCAGCACTATGGGTTCAGGGGATCATCTCTCGAATGGTTTAAGTCGTATCTGAACAACAGAAGTCAACTTGTGAGGGTGGATACCACGTTGTCTTCTAGCAAGCCAATAGAATGTGGAGTACCACAAGGCTCAGTACTAGGCCCTATTTTGTTTCTTCTTTTTATTAACGACATTGCTAACATAAACATCAGTGGCAAAATATGTCTTTTTACGGACGACACTAGCTTCACTTGGAGCAACAAGGACATCGCGGCACTTCATAGGATTATATCAAATGACTTAATCACCATTAAATTTTCATGCGATTCGAACCTCCTGAGTCTCAACATTTCTAAAACTAAGGCTTTGTCGTATAAAAACTCGTTGCAGCCTTTTGTACTTAACAACACCACCATTGACGTCGTAAAATCTGTAAAATTCTTAGGGCTTGTTGTGGACAATTCTCTGAAATGGGACATACATATCAAAGTTTTGTCGAAAAAATTGAGCTCTGCCTGTTTTGCATTAAGGCCTGTTTCTAAGGAGCTTAACTTGTCAATGGCTAGAACTGTTCATTATGCACTTTTTGAGTCGCACCTCAGGTATGCCCTTCCATTCTGGGTTACGTGTTGTGCGGCTCAATTTGACCGCATTTTCAAGCTCCAGAAGAGAGCTGTTCGATATTCACTGGGACTAAACAGCAGAACTCATTGCCGGGGCTTTTTTAGAGAATTAAAAATATTGACTATTCCTTCCTTATTTATATTTGAATCCGTTTGCCTAATACGTAAACATGTATCAGCTTCTCAAGAAAGGCCATCTCACACTTATCCACTCAGGAACGCGGACCAAGATCTTTATCTACCTACCCCACGCTCAGAGTTAGTTAAAAGTTCAATATTATACAACTCGAAAAAATGCACAATCACCTGCCATTTGAAATCAAATCCATAACATCATTTTTTCATTTCGCAAAGCATTGAACTCTTATTTACTAGACAAGGCTTTCTACGCCGTAAATGAATTATATTTTGAAAATCAAATTTGATCTTGTAAACACTGGTCTAATGTTTGCTATTGCTATATTTACTAATGACATCGAAATGAATTTATTTAGAGGTCATTGATATTTTACTATAAACTAGCTAAATATTTTTGAACATTATTTTGATTTTTTTGTTCTTTGACATTATAAACATTTATAAATGTTTATTTTAACAATAAGACTGACAATATTATTTGTATAATGTTTTGTATTATCTTTTGTTTGTTTACCTTGTTTGTGTACCTTGTTTTTTTACTTTGTTTGTTAGTTTACCTTTGTCTACAAATTGAAAAATTTTTTGACAATAAAGGCATTTATTTAGTCCTACTTTATTTTTGGAGTACAACATAGAAACCACAACTTCATGTTCAAGCACTTGCCGTAAATAAACCACTGCACCATAACCAACCTCCGATACGTCACAAAATCCATGAAATTCAACATCCACACATTCATCACGTATAACACACCGAGGTATAGAGAGTATAGACAAAATAGAAAGTTGCTTGTGATACAATTCCCACTGATCTACAATTTCCCTAGAAGGTAAAGCATCCCATTCCAACCCCTGAAGCCACTATTTCTGTATTAGACACTTAGTAACCAATATCGTGGGAGCCAAAAATCCCAACGGATCATATATTTTCGCAATTTCAGATAATATATTACTCTTCGTACACTCTTTACTTACAGGTTTCACAGAATATAAAAAACAATCTGTCAATGGCGACCACTGTAATTCATACCAGTTGGTTCTTTATCACTAAAAGATATCACTCGCTGATGAGAGCAAGGAACTGATTCTAACGAAGTTGGCTCATTGTTAGACCATTTGCGCAACTCAAAACATCCCGAAGATAACAATTCAATGAGTTGTCGCTGCATTTCCAATATTTCAGAAATACTAAAAGTCCCTGCCATTATGTCATCCACGTATGTCGTTTCACGTAATATTTTTGCTGCTTGGGGATATTCAGTTTCATGGTCTTTAGCCAATTGTAGAAGAGTACGAATAGGTAAGGACTGGAAGATAAACCGTAAGTAACCGTATTTAGTTGATATTCTTCAATGGGATCAGAAGGGGAAAAACGCCACAAAATTCTTTTAAAATGTCTATGTTCTGCGGCCACAAGAATTTGCCGATACATCTGTCTGATCAGCAGTAAACACCACACTGAAAATCCTGAACTTCAATAAAATAGCAGTAATTTCATTTTGAAGTTTGGGACCCACGAATAAATTGTCATTAACAGAAAGTCCATTAGATGACTTTGCACTACCATCAAACACAACACGAATTTTTTTATCAGAACCTTCGTCTTTTATCACACAATGATGAGGAATGAAATACCCTTCACTCAGTGGCGGATACAGAGGGGGGGGGGCCATGGGGCCAAGGCCCCCCTAAAATCTTTGAATTATGTTAAATATTAGGCTTATGGGTTAAAAATCGCGCTCTAAAAAGCATATTCTACCTTACATTTTATTTGCCCCCCCCCCCTAAAAAAATCCCGGGCCCCCACTATAATAAATTTCTGTATCCGCCCCTGCCTTCAGTAGTAAAACTTAGAGGTCTAGATAATGTCATGTGACCCTGCTGAAGATAATCTTTCATAAATTCACTGTAAAGTCAGTTTAATTCTGCATTTTTGTCAATCGATTCTCCAGAAGCATGAAACGACGTAACGCTTGTTCTTTAGACTCTCCCAAGGAAGGCGGAACACTATAAAATGGAAGAGGAACCACATATCTACCACTTGATTCACGAGTCACATTCTTAGAGAAAATTTGTTCACAAGTATCTTCTTCCGGCGAAAGAACTACTTTCTGTGGAATACTTTCTTCTTCCCAGAATTTCTTAATAGAATCATTCAAGGGTAGTAAAACACTTTATCACTGATGAATTTGGAACTGCATTAATTGAACCAAATAGAATTCACTCCAGAGTGGTATTAATAGCACAAGGTCCACCACTTTCAGATTTTTGAAAACCTGGTTGAATGATCTGCGAAAACATCTCAACCCCCAAAAGAATATCCACATCTGAGCTTTTATTAAAATCAGGGTCAGCTAGTTTATACTTTTTAAGATAATTCCACTTATTAGCAGAAAAGCTTGACACAGGAATTGCTTCCGAAATTTGAGGCAACACTACAGCCTCTACACAATAAAGAGGGTTGATACTCTGATAAGGGTACACATTTAGCGATATACTGCCCTGTTTCGCACATATTGACATCTGATTAATGCCGGGAATACATATAGAAGATTCTTTTGGCTGTAGAGATAATTTTCTTAGACAAGCCTCACTCACAAAATTAGCTTGGGTAGCCGAATCCAGAAAGCTCTACATTTGACTCGTTCACCACGACTGTTATGCACATGAACCACTGCGGTAGCAAACAATATTACCTGCTTTGAACACACCTTAACTTCCTTCAACACCCTACTAGAAAAAGCTTTCACACCTTCTTCAACACACACGTTATTTGCGGCAGCACTGGTAGAAGGAGGTGATGAATCACACGTTTGAGAAGATAATTTTGAAGGAAAATGTAACAGAGTATGATGACGTTTATGGCATACACGACATGCCTTTGTACTCACACACTTATTCACGGGATGGCCAGAGGATAAACAATTAAAACAAACCTTATTAGTTTTAACAAATGAATGTCTATCATTCACTTCAGAACATAATAAAGCATCGCATTTAAGTAACGAATGAGCATCTTGTTTACAATATTTAATATTTACACATAGAAACATCTACTTCTGTCATAAAATTAATTGTAATATTTCGTTTACTTTGACCACTCGGTTTATATGAATTACCATATTTATTTCACTTGTCAACTACTTTATAACTATTGCTAAATTCTGCCTTTTGACACAACTGACTATTTTCTAACGCTTTACAATGTTTCTCTAAGAAATTGAATAAATCATTATAGGTAGAAAAAGTTTTGCATGTATGCTCAAGCTCAAATTGCGTTTTTAAAGATTGATCAAGTTTTTGAAAAAGTAGATTAAATTTCGTAAAATCTAATAAATCAAGATCACTGAATAAGTTCAAAGCTGCCAAATTTTCAGAAAAAATTGCTAGTAATTTTCTATATTCCACTGCAGATCTAGATTTAATTAACGGAGCTTGATATAAAGAATGCCAATAACTTGTCACTAAAATTCTATCATTTTGATATCTTGTAATTAAATCATTATATGCAGTTATGTAATTAGCCTCAGTAATAGGAATATTTTTAATTACTAATGCGGCATCTTTTTCTAAATAGGACACTAAAAATTGAAAACGTTCAATATCTGTGTAATACTGCTGTATTTTAGTGTTTAATATTAGGGTAAATGAAACACTTTTACTAATCGTTATACTCTCGCCTTGCTAGCACGGTACGGAGTGAATCCCCTCCTCTCAGTTCACCGGCTTGGCTTAAGTTATCATTTATTACATCATAATATATCAAACAGTTTCTTATAACTTATAACAACTATGTTCCAATATGCTACATCTCTCCTTTTTTTACACAATGTTTTTACATAACTAGACAATACATTCATAAACAAAATCCTGATCAACTACGCTAGTATATGACATAACCAGCCAAAACATAATAACAATATAATATAACCATTAACAATAATATTAAACTCTCAATCTAAATGTATAATGCAAACAACTAAGTACCTTAATAAATATTAAATATAACCTAAAAACCTAACACAACTATATAATAATATAAGTAATATATAATAATATGTATAATAATTTAATAAATAATCTGTACACATTTTTATGTACTTGTTTGTTTTCCTATTATAACTTATTCTATACTATTTACTCGATATTTTTAGTGTTTGGACTTTTACATACTTGCCACTCTCCTTCTACTCTTTTTAAATGAACCACATTTCGCCTAAGTCTTTCCCCATTTTCGCTGTTTTCAAGTTCTATATCACCCCCTTTTTTGTTAACAACCGTATATGGAACAGTTCCAAAATCACTAGTTAATTTGTTATGTTTTATTAGATTTTTTACGTAAACTTTATCACCTCTATCCAAGTCGTTTTCTTTTGCTTTCCTTTTTTTATTAGCATATTCTTTGCCAATTTCTTTTTGCATGTGATCTTTATCTCTTACCTCCCCATCTAAACCACGATAATCTTGCCCTATTAAACTAGGTATTTTATCCCTGAATTGTCTGTTAAAAAACAATTCGGCTGGCGTTTTTCCTGTAGTGGAATGAGGTGTACTATTATACATTACAAGGTAATTTTGCAATTCCGTAATCCAGTCCTTTTTTAAAGAATGGCTTATTTTAAGCCTCTTTAATATGTCTTTGTTTTGTCTTTCTACCTCCCCATTTTGTTGAGGCCAATAAGGTATTGTGTGGTGTAATATGATAGCTCTTTCAGAACAAAAAGACCTCATTTCACTACAGGAAAACTGTTTTCCATTATCCGCTGTTATGGACACAGGGTTACCCAACCGAGAGAACACTTCCCGAAGAACCCTGATTGTATCCGCAGCAGTAATTGTTTTCATTATTTTAATTTCTTTGTACCGACTATAATAGTCGACGATAACAAACAAATGATATCCATTGGGCAAAGGGCCCATAAAATCTGTTGCTACGTCAATCCAAGGTCCTGCGGGAAATTCTCGTCTTTTTATTGGATTAGGTGGATTTGGCGCTGAAACTAAAGTACACCCTTTACAATTTTTTACTATTTTTTCCGCTTCAGTATCAATGTTTGGCCACCAAACCTTGGTCCTTAGTCGCGCTTTCATGGCAGCAATACCAGGATGCCCTTCGTGAGCCGCTTCCAAAACCGCTTTACGCAACTGAACAGGAATTACGATTTTATTACCCCTTAAAAGAATATTGTCATAAAAACAAAGTTCATTTTCAAACATACGAAATTTTTTTACACAATCGTCCCAAACGTTTTCGTACAAACCTCTTTTTACTTTACTAATTTCATGGTCGCTTTTGGAACATTCTTTTATTTGATTTAAAGAGATCGCAACCGGACACGTGAATTGAACGATGCTGTGTACGTACTCATCTGAATCAAAATTAGTTTTTTCTGAATTTACAATACATAGCCTTGACAGCGGGTCGGCAATGTTGTTTTTGCCTGGTTTATAAACTACTTTAAATTTATATGACTGCAGTCGTAACACCCATCGTTCAATTCTGGCACACGGTTTAGAATTTGGCCCAAATATTGCTTCCAGAGGTTTGTGGTCGGTTACAAGTTCAAATGTTTTACCAAAAAGGTATATCCTAAAATGTTCCACCGCCCACACTAATGCCAGAGCTTCTTTTTCGGTTTGGCAATACCGTTTTTCGCAATCTGAGAGACTTTTGTTACCAAATGCTATTATTCTGGAACCCTCTTGATTAATTTGAACCAAAACCGCCCCCAAACCTACCGGACTAGCGTCTGCAAAGACTTGAGTTCTCTCCTCTGAATCATAATAACCTAATGACCTTATCAGGGATAATTGATCTTTTAATTTTAAAAAGCATTTTTTTTGAGCCGAAGTCCAATAATTTGCAATAGTAGCAGTTTTACTCAATTTTAATCTCAATAATTTTCTAAAAGGTTCAGTGAGAGTGGCAAGGTGCGGAATCCATTTTCCAATAAAATTGATTAAACCTAAAAAACTTTGCAACTCTTCGATAGTTTTAGGAGCCCTAAAAGTCCGAATACTTTCTATATAATTATCTAAAGGTCTTACACCTTTTGAAGACAAAACATGACCTAAAAAGGTGATTTCTTTTATTTTAAAAGCACACTTATCGCTATTAAGAAGAACATAATTTTCTTTTAATCTTTTCAATGTTGCATCCAAATTATTGTCATGTTCTGTTTCATTAGATCCAAAAATGACAATATCGTCAATAAAACTTATGACTCCCTTAAGGCCCATAAGTATGCGTTCCATTATTTTTTGGAATAATTCTGGTGCACAAGATATTCCAAACAATAATCTTTTATACCTAAATAAACCTTTATTTGTTATAAAAGTTGTAATTTCACGCGACTCCGGAGATATCTCGACTTGATGAAATGCGTTCTTTATATCAAGCCTAGAAAACAATTTAGCTTTTCTTAAATGAGGAAGTAGGCCATTCATTGTAGGCAATGGATGGTTTTCGCGAATAATAGCGGTATTAGCTCGGCGCATATCAATACAAATCCTGATATCTCCGTTTTGCTTTAAAATGGGAACCATAGGTGAAACCCACCTTGACGGACCGTTGACTGGTTCAATAATATCAAGTTCGATAAGTTCATTAATCTTTTTTTCCACTTTTGCCTCTAGAGGAATCGGGATCCTTCGATACGGTTGGCAAACTGGCTTAATATTTTTATCTATTGGTATATCAATCAAAACGTCCTTAAATTTCGGAAAAACTTCAATAGAATTTATTTCAAGACCGATTTTCAAAACACCTAACGCCATTGCTGTTTCTTTTCCTAAAAGATTTTTTGATCCGTTTTTGATCACATAAAAAGTAGAACGTTTTGTTTGATCTCCAATAGATATTTCCGCATCGAATGCTCCCAATACCGTCAGTGGCGTATTACTTGCGTACGCTACAAAGCACTTTTCTGGATTTTTTATTTGGTTCCAAACGTGAACTTTATTTTCTTTTAAAAATTCCCAGGAATCCCCAGTAATTAAATTACTCTTACTTCCTGAATCTATTAACAATTCTATAGGTACATTTCCAATTTTGCATTGAACCAAGCAATCGTCATCAATATGGAAAACATAATCAGTTTCTTCTGTTCTTGGTTTTTTATTATTTTTGTATCGATTAAACCCAACATTTCTTTTACGATTCACTTTAGTTCTGCAGCAAATTTGGAAATGTCCCTTCCGCCCACACTTTAAACAATCTTTATTTCTAGCAGGACACGATTTATCCTTTGGTAAATGTCCTTTTCTCCCACAACAAGAACAGTCAAATTTAGATGTGTCTTGGAAAACCTTATTTACAGAATTTGAAATTTGCATACTGGAACAACTTGGAGTGGAAAACCCCTCCATTTCACGGCCTACTGTTTCTAAAGCATTTGCTTCCAATATAATATTATCCAATGTAGCATTATCCCCTAACGCCAATATTTTTTTCCTTAGGTCCAAAAGCAGCATTTCTCCACAATTTGATCAATGAGATGTTCTTGCAAGTTTTGGAACTGGCATTTATACGCCTGCATCCTTAACCTTACTAGAAACTTTTCGAACTTCTCATCAGACTCTTGCTTAAGTTGCCGAAATATGTGCCTCTCAAAGATCTTACTTTGTTTGGGTGCAAAATATTCACCTAATTTCTCCAGTGCTATGTTGAACACGTCCACATCCTCGTCTGCAGTTTCATCAACATGCGCCCCTGGTATGTTATAATAAATCTCCTGAAGACCAATATCACCGGAATGAAGTAACAAAGCTCGTTTCTTTGTTGGCTCTATGATATTCGAGGCTTCCAAATAAATAAGGAAAGCCCTCTTCTATCGTTCCCACCTCAGTCCTACTGAAGCTGGTTCACCTTCGCAATCAAAATGCTCTATGGCCATAAGTTGTGCCATTTCAGATTTATCTGAAATAAACTCTATATTAGACCCTGCATGCTTTCGTGATTTTTAAATAAATCATTCGATATTAACGTCGTCTTTCGAATTTACTTCGAATCCGACGGGACATTTCTTTAAGGTGTACTCCGAAACACCACTGACTGATTTCTAAATGAATCATTCGATATTAACGTCGTCTTTTGCTTTTTTTTTGCAAATCCGACGGGGCGTTTCTTTAACGTGCACTCCGAAACACGACTAGGACATTAAATAGGTATCTACTAGTAGATACTATAGATTACTGTAGGCAATATGCTTTGTCATACTACTGCAAGTTTTATACGACCTTAACACTATTAATCTGCTACTCTAATTTAAGTTTATAAGTATTTAGGTAAGATTTAAAAAATGACAAATTGTAAAACTCAAATGAATAGCCAAAAGCCTAGAATTTATTTATAAAAGTAGCAGTGATTTTAAATTAATACCTGTATTTTATCGTATGACTAATAATCTTATTGATTTTCGTAGAGCGGCAGTGACTAAGCGTATGTTTACTTTAAAGACGAATATTATTTTATTACACAATTTAATTAATTATTTAAATAATGTGTGTTAAGAGGCCTTAGAATCTATCTAAAATAGTTAAATCGTATTTTCTAATGCAGTGTTACGCATATGCCTTTGTCCTTTTCTTTGTTTGTTCGAACTACTAGTATATTAATTTTCCACCTACCTTAAAAAGTTTACAAAAAGTACACTTCACTAACAAATAATGTCAATAATTATTGCTGGACTTTATCCTCGTCGCCAATGTAATACTGCTGTATTTTAGTAATTAATATTAGGGTAAATGAAACACTTTTACTAATCGTTATACTCTCGCCTTGCTAGCACGGTACGGAGTGAATCCCCTCCTCCCAGTTCACCGGCTTGGCTTAAGTTATCATTTATTACATCATAATATATCAAACAGTTTCTTATAACTTATAACAACTATGTTCCAATATGCTACACTGGTAATATGCTACTTTTTCTATATGAATAATATTCTGAGTATTGCAAGCCAGGCACGTGGGAATGTTACTCTTATAATACGTTAAAATAAATATGTTCGAAAACATACGAAAGGCATTTATATAATATTCTACTAGGGGCTTGTAAAGAATATATTATTTGAATATTACTATGAAATACGTGACCCTCATCGGATAACCGAATCTGTACCAACATGTTTACGACAGTTAATATAGATTAAAGGAAAAAATTGGTCAATTGCGAGTCGGACTCGCGCACCATAGGTTCCGTACCATTCATTATCTATACAACATTAGACACTATATTATTATAAACTTTTTTTCCGATTTAGCTGAAATTTTGAATGCGCGTATAAGTAATTAAAAAAAATGAAGAAACACATTACTAAAAATTGTATTAATCAATAATAAATATGTAAAAAGTAAAAATAAATATGTAAAAATATGTAAAAATTTAAAAAAAACGATTAAAAGAAGTCGCATTGACTAGGATTCGAACCTGTCTTACTACGGCTCCAACGTCATAGCAGCGTAAAGGCCTAACGCTTTAACCACGCGGCCACCGAGGACCTGAAAGATTATATGTAAAATTCTTACTTAAAAGATAATGTTTAGTGAAAGTACTTTTTATTTATAAACATTTATTTAATTCTGTTTTTAGTACCGTATGATCGAAAAAAAAACGGCGTCCAGTTGGCATGGACATGACGATCGATGACATTTCCCATATAATTTTACATATAAAATGACAGCGATCTTCATTTCATAGCCATCGCTGACGCCGTTTTTATTCGATCATACGGTATTTGTTCTTATAGCGGCAACATAGATACATTATCTGTGAAAATTTCAACTGTCTAGCTATAACGGTTCATAAGGACCTTTGTGACAGACGGACGGACGGACGGACAGCGAAGTCTTAGTAATACGGTTCCCGTTTTTACCCTTTGGGTACGGAACCCTAAAAAAAAGATCTAGGTTAATTTTTTTTTATAATTGTAATCTGATTCAACTCGAAAACCACTGGAATAAATAAAACTTCCCCTAACGCAATAAATAAAAAAGTCCCATAAGTTACGTGTCGGTACGAACCAAGGGTATGAGTGTTCTCAGAAGAACATCTGCAGTGTATGTTTTTTTTTCTGCATAAGCAATATTTCCATACTTAATGTAATTTTTCTCACACTAAATTAATTCTGTGTATACATTTTGACCAGCTTTAATGTATCTAGATAAAATTTTTAAAAAGGGGTCTCGAGATTTAGTATTCTAATTGGCGCAGTCTGCAGGATTGCGTATTAGTATTTTCCAAAAAATCGTAACTGTCTATCGACACTTTATCGAACATTTTTGTAAAATTTGGTGAAAACTTCCTGCGTTTTGTAGCCCTTCAGTTCAATTCTACGAACAAAAAAATAAAAGAAGGAGGAATCAGCAGCGACAGTATTATGACTGCGCTAATTAGAAAATCAAAACTCGAGACCGAGCTTAAAAAAAAATTAAACAATAAAAAAGAGACACGAAACACTGCATTCCTTGATTCACATGGATAAGTAACTCATATGATGCGACTTTATCTATATCACTTTTAGTTGCTTATTTCTTAAATCGATTTACGGAAAATCTAAATTTGTGCTCCTACAATTTTCGAAAGTGTTGCCAATTTATAAAAATTTAAATTCTTGAGTATCCACGCCTTGCTCTATGTCATTCAATTTTCGGTGATATACCTACCTCCAGTAAACAAGGAAATGCAATTGACATTCTATAGACTAGTAATAGGCGATGCGAAGCTTTTCGAAAATGTACTGCCTCTCAAAACTCGCTTCCCTATTTTGTTCTACGGTTTCATTTTTACAGTATAGGGTAAGGCTAAAAATAGAATTTTATTAAATTGCTTGCTTTACATTTCGTTTTGTATTACGTTAATTAGAGCAAATGTAAATTTAAAAATAGAACTTTTAGTTGTAAACAGTTTTATTATTTTCATAATTATAACGGTGCAGGACATATAAGGTCACATTTTTTTTAATACGAAATAATCATATCTAATAATATTAACTTTAAAATATGTAATTACTGAGTTATAATGGCTAAAATTAGTAAAAACATTTTATTAACAACATATTTTGTAGTATTCTTTTAAAAAAGAATTGTAACATTCAAAATGATGTTTACTATAGTTGGTATATATGTTACGGTTAAAGTCCGATGTCCGGTTAATGTCGACATTAACTGGTTAATGTTTGGGTTTGGTTATGTTTTTGATTGTTTTGTTGTGTGTTATTCTCGAGATTAACCGGATAATGTCGACATTAACCGGACATCGGACCTTAACCGTAACATATACATGTCATATTGTGTTAAAAATTTAACGTAAAACGTATGTATTAAATGTATTATTATTAAGGTTAAAAATGGAGTATTATAATTTGAAAGATTTTTCTTTTCGGATTCGCATATCTCATTTTTATGTTAGAGAGCATGTTTTTGTTGTTGTAGTAACTATATACTCATATTGTGTAATAATTAGAAAGACTATTTATTTTGAACTATATACACAATAATAATTATTGTAAAAAAATAAAAAATGTAAAATATATAATAGGCATGTTTCATGTTTTTCAATTTCCACGTAATTATGCAGATTTCAACCTAATTAGTGCTTGCTACTTAGTCTTTTTTATATAAAACTTAATATTAGGCCAAAAAATGGGGTAAAAGTTGTAATACGCGCGCTGCGATGACGTATGTATACGCCAATATGATTGGCTGGTTTTCGTCTCGAAATAAACTTGGTGAATTTTATGATGTTGGCAGTATTGCTGGTTATTCAATGTCAAAATGGCATTGTTTACAATTGTTTATTTTTGATTTTAAATTAAATTTGCATTTAAACTATTTGCAATAATATTAAAAAATGAATTGTTCTATTGTTGGATAACATTTTCCAGTAACTGTAATAAAATGTTTTTGTACGCGTCGAAAAAGATGGAAAATCGTAAATGTTGTTTTTTCAGAAAACTTCTCTTAAGCTATGAATGTGATTTCAAAGCATTTCAAAGTGAGTTTATATTATGTTTGATTTGTTAAATCATTAATGACCTGTTTTTTACATGTGGAAGAAGATGGGGAAAAATTAATTTGAAACAAATTTAATTCTTGATAACTAAGATTAATAGTATTTTCGGCAAATCACAGTTATGGTATAAAACAGGTACGCTACAATCTCACCATGAAAAGTTAGAGAAGATGAACAAGGCAATTAGAAAAATTCTATTAGCACCAAGAATGTTAATAAATACGTTCATGGTTAAATTATTTCAGAAGACTATTAATAAAATACATTGTTTATTAGATAAAATTAAAAGATTAATCGACTTACCTGAAGGATGATTAATCATAATTTTCCGAGCTTGTCCGAAGATATAATTACCATGTAGTTTCCGAATAAACCTACTCATCAGCACGAACTTTTTTGGAGTTTTTTTTTTATCTGTGGCCCGGTTCGATCGCTGCCTGTGTTGTCATTCCGTTGAAGTGT